ACTTTTTCGACATCTCAACTTCCAAAAGTGGTCCAAACCTGTGTGTTTTGTACATGTTGACTTCGAAATGTGCTTGGCACCACAACGGCGTGCACTTTTTCGACATCTCAACTTCCAAAGGTGGTCCGAACCTGGTGTGTTTTGTACATTTTGACCGAACCTGGTGTGTTTTGTACATATTGACTTCGAAATGTGCTTCGCGCCACAACAGCGTGCACTTTTTCGACATCTCAACTTCTACAAGTCATCCGAAGCTGAGGTGTTTGGTACGTTTTTACTTCCAATGTGCTTCGCGCCACAACGGCGTGCAATTGTTTATCTCTCATCTGGCCAGCTGGCTTCGCACCCGCCGCTTTAGCGAGCCTACTTTTCGACCCTCCGGAGCCACAAGTCGTTTGAAAAACACAGTGTTTCGCGACTTTCCTACCTTTTCGCGCACCTGGATCTTCTTTCTTCTGAGACTTTCTCTTTTTTTGATCTTCTTTCTTCTTCTCTTCTCTTCTCTTCTCTCCTCTCCTCTTCTCTTCTCTTCTCTTCTCTGACTCTTCCCACCTCTGCTTTTCATTTGTCCATATTATTGTCGGAAGTTTGACTTCTAAACAGTATTACCGCACAAGGCGGTGGCGGAAGTTTCAAAAATAGGAAACCTATAGGAGGGGTTGGTTGTTGTGAATCCCGGTCGGCAGAGCGAATCCATCAATGGACCGAAAGGTGGTTGGAATGGCGAATTATCCATTTGTCTATCTACCTATCTATCCATCCATCCATCTATCTATCTATCCCTCTTTTGTGTCTACTGATCTATCTGTCTGTCAGCCCATGTTTCTCTCTGTGTTTCCATCCATCTGCTTAGCTCTCTATCTGTCTTTGTAGCCGTCCATCCATCATCCCATTTTTTGTCTATGTATCCATCTGTCTATCCTTCTTTCTATTTCCCTCTTGAGATCTGTCCATTTCCTTGTCTCTTTGTTTGTCTGTCGTCTTGCGGTCTATCCATCTATCTAGCTGTCTATCTACAACCAACAGCAGCATCCGCATCTACACAACAATCACCCTGACATCACCGGTGGCATCCACACTGCCAAGACATGGGCCCCCCAAAACGTTTGCTTACAAATTCCCGCGACATGTGGAAGTGCAATTGATACCGTCAAAAACAAAGCAAGTCTGCGAGACCTGCTCAATGTCTAAAACTTGACAACATCGTTTACGCAAAAATTCTGCGAGACTTCCCCTATTTTCGAAGTTGACAAGAGCAAAAACGAAACAATTCTGCGAGACTTCCTTATTTTTTCGACGGTGACAACATCAAAAACGACACAATTCTGCAAGACTTCCTTCAATAATGGAAAGTTGAGTGCAAAGCTCACGGCCTCGTACCAATGCGTTTTCCGATTTTTCCATTCCACCTGTCTAAAGTACTGCGCCTGCCAAGAAAAAGTGATGCCAAGTCATACGAAGTGTTGCACCTGTCGCGCAAAATCATCTCAGCAAACCCGAAGATCTGATGCTCCAAAATGCAACTCCTCTCAGGAAATCAGCGCCCTGACCTCAACAGCTCTGATGAACATGTCTCTTGCACTGCGCCTGCCACGCGAAAATTTAGGACATGCTACAAAACCCTCACGTTTTGCTCACTTTTGACAAGGTGCATACTCGACATCGCAACTTCTAAAAGCGCTCCGAAGCTGAGGTGTTTTGTACATTTTGACTTGGAAATGTACGACTTGGAAATGTGCTTCGCGCCACAACGGTGTGCAACTTTTCATCTCTCATCTGACCACATGGCTCCGCACCTGCCGCTTTAGCGAGCCTTCTTTTCGACCCTCCGGAGCCACAAGTCATTTGAAAAACACAGTGTTTCGCGACTTTCCTACCTTTTCGTGCACCTGGATCGTCTTTCTTCTGAGACTTTCTCTTCTCTGATCTTCTCTCTTCTAATCTTTCTCTTCTCTCTGCCTCTGCCCTGCTCTGCTTTTCATCTGTCCATACTGTCGGAAGTTTGACTTCTAAGTTTCCTTCGATCATAATCCATTATGGGATTTCCTATGACCAACCAAGTATAATGAAACGACAAAAGGTCTTTGAACGCTGCTCAAATATGGACAACTGCCATCATGCAATGAGGGGATGCTGTGGAAGTTGTTATTTTGTTTGAGTTTGATTCACCAAAATTTGGCAAATTCATGTGTCATCAGCCATCGGTCAAAAGTTGGCTGGAATTTCCTCCTTGACCGGCAGATGATCATACCGCCATTCACAACAAATATTACAATGGCAAATATCATGATTTCCAACAATAACAATGGTGAGATGACCATAGCATACCATAACCATCCATAACCATCCATAACCCATATATACATCAATTTGCACAGCTTTGACTTTGACACATATGACCGTGACATGATTGCAAATTGTCTGCGGGTTAAAGCCTCTGGTTTAGAATGCCCCATAGTGGTTCATTCTTAGTCGCGAACTCACATGGATATGGGCCCGAATTTAAAGCTCCAGGGACCAATATTTTGTCTTTGTTAGATTGCAACAAACGAACCCATTTTCGGTACTTTGTCCCTTTTAGTATGTGTTTGATTCACACCTTGTGATGATGATCAGTCATCCAATCCGTTGGTACCCTAGCCCTTTCAGTTTCTGGTTTGCAGCCCATACTTCTGATGGTCGCGTAGCTGTGTGATAATCCCTAAAGTTGGTCGATTGGGATCTATGTGAATCATAGAATTCAGCCACAACCATGGGTCAGGGGTACACTTGTGCATCAGTTTTGGGCAAACCCATTCGATTTATGTAGGAAACCCATAGGTTTGACTGCATTCTGCGCGGGGTCCTTAGATTGTTTTCCCTTCAGCCGAGCCTATCCAAATATGGGAATTTGATTGACCCAAAATGATCTACTTTCAAGGCCAACGGCTCTAGATCTTGAACATGACCATAGAAATTTACGTTTTCTCAGGTACTTATGCCATGTTTTGACCCTTCCCACATGATGGTGGAGCAGAGCTGTGGGTAGTTGATTCTGTGATTCCTCAAATCTAAGTTTGTTGTGAGTTTGGTTGGGATGTTGAAACTGAACCCGTGAATTCGGCCTTCAAGAACCACGCTAAAAACTAGTAAAGTACGGTGACAGCACCCTTTCTGAGCAAACTAAACCAGTTTTCTTGTTGAATATATAATTATGCTATTTGTCTATGGCTGATTTAGCCCGCCATTCCTTGCTACATCCCCTTGTCTGTCGGTTCAACCCCCATGTTTCATCCTGCCTCAAGTCACCAAAGTTGCTCATTTTACCAGCCATACCACGTTTGGCATACCCCATCCAATAGATATCCCATTGAAGGCTGCAGAACAGGAACGACTCTGATTCCTCAGTTTCTGTGCCAACCTACCCCAACTTGTCAGTTCCGAATGGGTCAAAAACGGGGATTGTCCCCATGTTTCACCGACATGAATCCCACGTATCCCATGTATCCCATGAATCCGGAATTCCTTTGGCCTCAGAGTAATCCCATCTCTGGTTCATATTCAACACCTTGTTCTTTAATATCTGGGTCTTGTCCTCTACTAAACCATGATTTTTTGGGGTGATTCAAATGAACGGAGAACGGATGATCGACTCAGGTGCTTGGCCCTGCTGCTGGTTGCACCCAGGACTATTCCGCGGCGCCCAACGCCAAACCCATCCCGTTCCTTAGCGCAGCTGGAAGAGGTGCATGAGGCATTGTCCAGGCGAGGGTCATAGCGGTTCTCTTGGAATACCCTTTGGTAAACTACCAGAACTATGGAAAATCACAATTTTTCATGGGTAAATCAACTATACATGGCCATGTTCAATAAAATATTGTGGATGGTTGCGAAATCCTGCACTAGCTGGTGGTTATGAAGGTAACATAAGGTAACTATGAAACACTGCTACTATAATGGGATCATAATGGGACAAACCATCTACCAACTGGTGCAGAAATTCTTCCATCCACGGTATGCATCACTTGTAGTGAAAAATGAGCCATTGTCAAATTTCTTGGGTCGAGTGGTTTTGTCCAGGGGATGGTCTTCAATCCCTTGGGGGGTCATATTTTTAATAGCTATGGGGATGGATTTACATATATTTCCATTGTGGGATGGATGACGATAGCCGCCATATACAAGCATACACATACAGTGTGGATCATTGCCTGGAGTACCACCTGGGTGAACGTCTTTTTGTTGAGGATGTTCAGTGTCGACAGCTCATGAGTTTAGGTTGATGTTTAGGAACTGATGCTTGGAGCGATTGAAGACATGAAGGCTCCTAAACACTTGACTCACTTGACACTTCATAACAAATGTCAGGTGCGGTCTAAGTATTTGGTTTAGCAGTGGCTGTTGCCAGAGTCTTTCTTCAAAATGTGTGTTTCTTGTGGAATTCCCTGGCATCTTGCAGGGTACGAGTACTTGCAGTACGCATACATGTGCTGATGTAACCGTTACATTAAGGATAGTAAGGCCTTGAAATCCTATCGTTCGCGATTCAACCACCCTGCCTGCATGGGTACTTTGGTTCACCAATTGCCTGATTTGCCGCGAATCCCAGGCGGGTTTGGATTACCAGAAAATCCTTCGTTGAGTTCGATGCTTTCCCATACGGATAGATGCCCATGTCGTTCGGGGATTTCGGAGGAAGCCAAGTTTACTTACAAGAGGGTAATATGAAATTATATCCCCATTCTTGACGGTGAATATCCCATGAACATTCCAAATATTGTTGGTAGTTACTAGTTACAGTTAAAACCCTTTACCAGCTACAGATGGTTACAAATGGCGTTATCATTCCACAAACGGGCTTAAACTTAACTTGCAACTGGTAAAGGACCATAACCATAACTATTTATATATCTATATATACATACGTACGTACATACATACCATACATTTACATTACATTACAGTACATTGCAGTACACAACATTACATACATACAATATATATATACCCTTGTTCCCAGGATGAGTGGTTTGCCAGGGCAAGTTCTAGGTGCCTCGGGACGGCCTCGGCCGCGGGTGTGCTTCGAACTCAATGAACGGTGAAAAGGATACCATCACGGAGTATGGAAATACGGCCACATGCACATACTACCATACGTACATAATGAGATTATATAATTCAATTGGCCTGGGTGACGGCGCAAATTCAAGACCCATGCAGGGGACCATTGTGCTTGCCCATTGTCAAGCTAATGGCTGGCGAGCAAGCTCCCAATTTTTGAAACTAGCTTGAAATTTGCTCGTGAATTCAAAAAAAGTCCCCAACCATTGTGTTTCCCAATTGATGTTTGATGAAATTTAGCATGAAATTTGCTTGAAATCACATATCATTTGTTCACTCGTCAGGTGGCGCCGGGACCATCACTGCGAATCTACATCTCGGAAGTCCAGGGCAACAAATCACGGTCCAGCTGGACTCGGGATCACAGAAGTGCCGCGGTGGCAGTGGCAGATTCGGCTGGGAGATCTGGAAAAAATTGAAAGAAATGGGAGCGTTCTATGGACTTCAACACCCAACTCTGCACAACCACTATTGAAATTGGGATATTAGAAACCTATAGAAATATGATTGGTCGTTTCAGAGATATGATATTCTACTTCAATTGAATGTGAAAGGCGATTGAAACTACTGGAAAGTAAAGATGTAAATCCTGGCTTTGGGTTTGAAGGAACAAGATTTGTGGAGGCTTCGGGGGCGAGAAAGTTACCAAGTTGGGATTTCCAGACTTTCCAGACCCCGGAATGTGCAAATGGTTGGATAAGGTCATCGTATTCCTTGGGGAGATGGACGTCAACCAGAGAGTAACAAACACTGATGAATTACTTGGTGGCGCATCCCGCAAAAAGCAAGTCGGTTAGTGAGTCAAAACCCTAGTTACCCTCTGGTAAACTAACGTAACTATGGAAAATCACATTTTTTAATGGGTAAATCCAGTATAAATGGCCATTTTCAATAGCTTTTTGTATGTTTACCAGAGGGTATGAGTTAGTGGATTAACACGACTTTTCCCAGCAACAAAAGGGATATTCAGCCAGCGGGATGAGCCACCAAATAGGGTGTTCCTCCTGAATAGAGATCATTTTTCTGATCGTCCCTGACCCACATTGATCAACAGCCCCAGGCTGTTTCTGATTCCGGGATTGACTTTATGGCAATCCCCGAAAAATTCAAGACGCTTGACAGCTGGAAATTGTCCTTTGACAATATCATCTACATCACATCCTACTGTTCGGCATCTTTTGTGGACCTTTCTTTAAACTTCATTGTCTATATATATATATATTATAATACATATATATGAACATGTTCGTTATGCCTCATTTACATGGATTTTATAGGGGATTGTCCCCTCCGGCACGGGATGATTCCATGTCGTCATGTCCCTACGAAAAAGGCTCATGGGCATCCATCAGACCTGCCGCAACTTGGGCAATTGCTTCATGGTTCAGCCTGTGGCTCGACTTCTGGAAGCTGTCGTGGGGAACCATGGTGACCTAAAGACCTAACTTGTGAATCCCGGATGATGCTACACTGGTTTATGAATTCTATGAAATCTATGAATTCTATGAATTTGGGGTTCACGAAGGAGCGGGAAGCTGTTCATTACGGAAAGTGACGTAGCGCAATGATCCCAGCCTATAAAGAATCATCAGGGTTGGCAAGCTAACCTGCGCATGCACACCTCAGCCATGATCGGCCCCAGGTTTGGGGGAGACATCCCCAAAATGGTCACATGTTTCAGCTTTGTGAATAGTTATACGTATAATACCCTCTGGTTAATAGCCATGGAAAGATCCACCATTTTTAAGAACGGTAAACCGGTAAACCATCTATTTCTATGGGCCATCTATACCATGGCTATGTTAAATAACCAGAGGGTATTTATATATATACAGTATATTATACGTATCCTTTCATCCAGATCCTGCAATCACCAAACATGACCAAGTCTGGTGAATAGATTTCATTTAGCCAGGTACATGTTTGATTTGAGTTGTGTGTATTGTCATTTCTCCAGTTATTGTGCTTATTCATTGCTTGGAAGAATGTAGTTTGTAATCCATATGGGTTTCATTTCAAAATCCTGTACGCTCGTATGTCAAACTTCGCAAAACAAATACCATGGTAGTTAAGACTGGTGGCCTGGAGGTATGAGGTAAGAGATAGGTTGAATGGAATGTTGAAGTGTTTGATGGAGAAATTAATTATTGATAAGTGTGTTTTTTTCTGAAAATCCTCTTTAACTCGTAGTTTATTTCAAGGAAACATTGTGGATTCAAGCCGCAGACAAGAGTCGTGTTGTCGTTCAGAGCGTCCTGGGTCGTCTCAGTCTCGTGGTCTTGAAAAGGAGAGTATTCCATGTTGTATTTCTTGATTTCACCTTTAGTGTGTTCGATCTCACTGATGAATTACTTGGTGGCTCGTCCCACGCTTAGTAAGTAGGCTAGTAAAAGCCCTAGTAACAAGTGGATTGACTCTACTTCTCCCACCAGCAAAACCCAGGGATATAACCTACTTAGGATTCGTGGGATGAGCCACCGAGTATAGGAGACACATGTGCACATTTCAAGTTGTGTTCTGTCTTTACTTGACAGCGCGAACATTGTTTGGCAGATGTGACACCAGTGAAGCAGTGGCATCCATATCATATCTACGGAATGGCCCATGACTGAGCATGCAAAATAAAAGCCGTGTCATTTAGATGATCAAGATCTATATGCAAATATATTAAGATACATCAACATATATCAAGATCATATCAGATATGTATGTAAATCGATTTTTATGTTTACATTCAAAAATAATATATATATATATATAAGAGGCCCATTTGTTTGGGGATATTTCAATACACTTGCCAGAGCGACTGTCCAGGCGGGTCAGACGACGGTCGACACTCGGCTGAGAGTTGATAAAGATCTACCATACCTGATGCCGACAGGGCCACCCAAGTGGCTTGAAAAGACTTTGTTTGGATATATATATATACACATACACATACATATATATATATATGTATTTACATATATTTATATATACATATATTTATATATACATATATTTAACCTATATACATATTTATATATATTCATTTATATGTATACATATATATATAAGAATTCCTGCCAGATGTTCTGACATAATGAGTTTAGACAGCATGTCAAACTATATTTGATATGTCAGAGTTTGTGTCCGGATAAATGTCACAAAAATCATTCCGGAAACACGCGTGTCGGAATAAATGAATACTTGATGATAAATGGCGTAATCTATGTTGCGACAAATGTTAGGGTATGTACATGTGATTATTTGGTCAGGATGTCTTTTCGGTGTTTGGGATCTCGCAGGGGTAGAATACTTGCAGGTGGTGCTCATATCCTCTCGTAGTATCCAAGCAGATTGAGAAGACCTGTTTGAAGACCTGTTTGAGGAATTAGGCAAATCACTCGCACATGTGACCAATGACTATCTTCTAAGATCATCCCACTGTGGTAGGGTAACCGTTTGACCGAATATGTCTGCCTAACAAGTTGGAAAAATTACCGTTATTGGATTTTCTTGGGAACAAATGGAGATATGATTCGGAAATATTGCCAAACTGGTTATAGTAATCATTATTGGCAAACATGTTTCCATGAGATACAGTGGTAAAGTATTCAATAGTTACTGAAAATGGTTACCCTACCACTATTAGTGCTTAATATGACCCAAGGGATAGGATCATGGAAATCCAACCATGAACTAATGAGACCCCAGTAGATTTCAAGAATCCGATCCCCTGTTGATATTGAACACCCCATGTATGTTCCTAAAATGGGGAGTACCCCCAAATCATCCAGTCATTAGACCATTTTAGTATTGAAACGCGACGTGTTTTGGGTATCTCTCATTTTAAGAGACCCACTAGTATACATAATGAATGATCACCAGCATAAATGCTAGGCAAATGACCAATACGCATGGGTTAAGAAACCTCCATATACTCAGACTTTAAAATATGTGTAAATCCACTGCAAACAACCATGGTTTCTGGGGGTTCCTTCCCCCAGCGATTGGTTTCGCTTACAGGCTCTGGTGCCAGGCACAGACATTGATCAACCGCAGTGTCAACAGCAGAAGGAGGACATATCCGCAGCATTGCAGTGCCATGGCTGCCATGGCTGCGCAGGGTGGAACTTGGACCGGTAAACTCACAGTTAGCTATGCCCATGGCCTGGAAGTGCATGTAGATTTGATTTGACAAAGAGTCGTGATTTTCCACAACAGATCCGCCAAATCCTATGTGTTTTCATTCTCACATTGTTTGAAATAGACATGCCATTTTTTCGAAATATGTTAAGACGATAAAATGTATGTAAATGTTATAAAATGACTTAGAATGCGGGGAAACCTTCCAGAATTTCAACTGTGGCATGTTTCCCATTTAGTATATAAGAATAAAATAATAAAATATGTTCAAAACTTGGGAGGATCCCAGATTGTTTGTAACAATTTTCTTAACGAAAAGTTTAACAAAATTTTAAGTGGAAAAATGTGTGGCAAAATGTGTGGCAAAATGGATTGCCACATGTTTTTCGCCATCATTGCCATAAACCCATGCTCGTTTATACAGCCCCCATGTCAAATCATGTAGAGAGGCATTGCAGGAAATGAAAAATAAATAAATAAATGTACATGCACGCATACATACATGCATGCATGCATACATACATACATACATGCAAACATACATGCATACAGGCATACATGCATACACGCATGCATCCATGCATCCTTGCATTCATGCATCCATGTATACATGCACACATACATACATGCATACATGCATACATACATGCATACATACATCCATACATGCATACATACATCCATACATGCATACATGCATGCATACATGCATACATACATGCATGCATATGTACATGCATACATGCATACATACATGCATACATACATGCATACATACATGCATGCATACATACATGCATGCATACATACATGCATACATGCATCTACGTATGCATCTACGCATGCATCCATGCATCCACGTGTGCATCCACGCGTGCATCCACGCGTGCATCCATGCACCCATGCATCCATGCATACATCCATACAAGTATGCAGCATACATCCATACATCCATACATGCATACATGCATACATGCATCCATACATGCGTACATGTGTATATGCATACATACATACATACATGCATGCATGCATGCATGCATGCATGCAGACATGCATACATGCATACATGCATACATGCATACAGCATACATGCATACATGCATACATGCATACATGCATATATATATATATATACATGCATACATGCATACATGCATACAATGCATACACGCATGCATCCATGCATCCATGCATCCATGCATTCATGCATCCATGCATCCATGTATACATGCATACATGGCATACATGCATACATACGTACATACGTACATGCAGACATGCACACATGCACACACGCACACACCCACAAACGCACACATGCACACACGCACACATGCACACACGCACACATGCACACATGCACACACGCACGCATGCACACATGCACACATGCACACATGCACACATGCAGGCATGCATACATGCATACATGTATACATGCATACATGCAAACATGCATCCATCCATCCATCCATCCATCCATCCATCCATACATTTACGTACATTACATACATTACAAATTAAATGGCGTTATCATTCCATGAACGGGCTTAAAATTAACTTGCAACTGGTAAAGGACCATAACCACAACTGTATTTATTTATATATATATATATGGTCTCGTGTTCCGTGTTCCTAACCCCCCCCACCCACCCCCCCAATGGTATGGGTCCCCAAGTAGCACCCCCTTCCCTTCTATTTGCAAGCTATTGGCAGCATTTCTGAGGTCCAGCCTCGTATTTGCTAGGTCTTTGCAGCATTTCTGACTACTAGGTACATGCTACCTTTTAGACGACCTACGTAGCACACATACTCCCTCAAAGTACCTACGTGCTACCTATACATAGTCATATATACATGTGCTATGTATCTGCTTCCTATTTACTACCTGTGTGCTCTCACAACACTACATGTGTGTAACATATACCGTACCTACCATACATTCCAATGATACCATACATACCGTACATACCATACGAACTTTGACCGTACATACCATACCTATCATACCTATCATGCATACCACACATACCATACATATGAAACATAATTACCACACCTCCCATACATACAATACCGAACATACATGCCATACATACCATACCTACCTTACACAGCAAACATTCCATACCCACCATAGTAACCATACAGACCATACATACTGTCATATCAAACATACCATACCCAACCGACTTACATACCATACCTACCATCCATACAGTACCACACCCCCACCACACCACAGGGGGGGAGGGGGACAGTACTATGGCTGACCCATGACCATGGCGGGGGGAGGGGGGTTGGAACGCTGGACCATATATACATACGTACGTACGTACATACCATACATTACATTGCATTACATAACACTACATTTCCTTTCATTACGTTACATTTCCTTACATTACCGTACATTACCTTACATTACCTTACATTACTTTACATTACATTGCATTACATCACATACATACATATATACATAAATTATTTTTTCTATGTAAACATACATCTATCTACATACATAAATGCATATACGTATATACATGCAATATATATATATATATATATATTACATGCAAATGTTGACATGCATGTATACAGAAATTGTGATTCAGTAGTCTTTGGTGGGTTGAAACCCCTCCTGCCACGCCCATGCTCGGTGCCAGGGGGAAATGTCAAATGGGATCGCGTTCTGTGTTTTGTGACGCTTGGCACGAGACACTGCTGGCAATAACAAACACAAAATGCGTTTGGGATATGATTTAGGAGTATGATTTGAGGGATGTAAATGTGTTCATACAGTTTTACAAAAAAAACAAACTGTTACTTGGGTGTGCAGTTGGGGGCTTTATATATATGGGTATAGCCTCTGCACATCACCAGGACATAACATTCATGACCTCTACAAACTGGAAAACAACCCCAGGGTGGCTCCTATAATATGTAAATATATATATAGATAATTATATATATACAGTACAAGACTAAGAAAAAATATTGAATGATGTCGAATGTTTGTGACGAAAGAAAGGCATGTCGGCACACCAATTTGATGACCACATCCGCATTTGCAGCGGGGTCATCGAAATGGGATGCCATGGCTGTGCCCGTGCGCTTTGACCCACTATAGAAAGGGTACGCTGTGGCGAATGATGAAGCAATATGTTTCTTAAATTAGAAATAGATGCACAAAAGAAATCACTAGAACTTAGTCTTCCTGTGGGTAAGTCAAAGCTTGCCACAACTCGATTGTTGTTTTATTGGCATGTCTTTTGTGTGTGTGTGTGCGTCACCCGCTCTCACATACTTGATTTTCTGCATGTCATTCCAGTATCTCAAGAAGGGACGGTGTTTTTATCTGGGAAACAATGAGCAGCCAAATTCTGTCTTACAGCAGCAAGTGACAGGCTGTTACTAACAAAGCTCCATGCATTTGACTAAGATGTCACATGGCTGATCCCTGTGATGTAGCTGCATTTTTTGTGGAATAGGATGAAAGTACCCAAAAAAACAATCCATGCCAGAGGTTTTTTCAGTTGTTGAAACACGAGAGCGTATTGAATCACTTCCGGTTGGAATTGCATCTGTGACGAATCAGGACGATTATGCTTGGTTTCCTTGATTACTTTTGAACAACCCCTAGGGCCCTAGGCCCCACATATCCACCAAGTTTTTGATCACCACATGATTGTGGCCTAGGACTGCGGCAGTCGCGAGGACTGCTTCTCAATGATCCTGGAAGCTGCATCGAAGAGTGTTGTGCCCAACCAGGTTTGTGTCTGCGATGCAATTTGGAGTTTTGGGCTGTCCAAAATGAAAGGTGCCGCAATGATACTGTACCTCAAAAATAATCCCGAAAACTCGAAAACGAAGGTTTTTTCCCAAAGAACTGCTGCCAAATTTAACTTTCCACTTCATCTACATAACATCTCCTACTCCCTTGACATCACCTACATCACCTGCATCATCTACATCAACTCCATATATTCCATCAACTTCTTATATATATATACATTCACATACAGCATCTACATGTCGCTCATCATCTATATTATCTACTTCAACTTCATTTACGTCACATACATAATCTGCATCATCTACATCATTTACAGCAACATAATCTACATCATCTACATCATCTACATCATCGACATCATCGACATCATCTACATCATCTACATCAACATCATTTGCACGGCCGAGTATTAGCAAGCAGCTGGCACGTGGGGTTGTATCCTTTAAACATTGTATAGTTCAGATTAGTTCAGGAGTCGGGGACTCAAGATCAACCGGTTATTAATAACAGTTGAACAGTGCGATGATCCAAATTGGGGCTGGTGCTTGATGACCCAGCAAAAATCAGGCCTTGACATCGCTTGACGTTTTTGATGATTTCCAGGTGATGCGTCACTAGCAATCCTCGCATATTTCATCTTTGCTAGCAAAGCATTGGAAACATGGTTCCTGATTCTTGCTCCCGGTTTCACGATCAATTTCTTCTATAGGAGAATTATCACCTGGGGTGGGAATCAAATTTGGGCGCGCTCAGCGTGGTCCTGCAGAGTCCCTTTGGCTCAGGTCGGCCCCTTTGCAATGATGGCCTGGTTGGTGGTTTGGAAAATGAATTTTATGACTTTCCATATACCCTCTGGTAAATTAACATAGCTATGGAAAATCACCATTTTTCATGGGAAAATCCACTATAAATGGCCATGTTCAATAGCTATGTTAGTCATTACCAGAGGGTAGTGGGAATAAGAATCCCAACTGACGAACTCCATCATTTTTCAGAGGGGTAGGTTGAAAAAACCACAAACCATCTTATTATTAACCATCTGTAACAAAATAACCATATTGAACCATTATTAACAGTATATTACCACAAGGTAGGTTGAAACCACCAACCAGTGGCATACCGAGAGCAACCAAGGCGCCGTTACACGCAAGATGTGTGGCGACCCCGTGGACTTCCACCCAGAAGCGTCGAGCACCTTTGAGAGACTTCGCTTAAGAAATTCACAGCCCACCTGGGCGAACGTTGGTTCGGTGAAAACGGCATGCTGCAGAAAAATATATATATATATTCTTGTCATTCCCATCTGCCACGTGAGGGTCTCTAGATTTGAACAATACATCACTCCTTCACTTGCAAGTTTGCTCCCAAGCACGCCATTGTAATGTGCCATTCACCTCTACACAGTCACTCTACACAGAACTTCAGATAGAATTTCAGATAAAATGCCAGAAAGATGTCAGAATATATGTTAGGTAGAATGTCTGATAGAATTTTAACAAATGTCATAGAGAATGCCAGTTGGAATGCCAGGTGCAACCAGATAGAATGGCAGATAGAATGCCAAATGGGATGCCAGATAGACTGCATGTCAGATAGACTGTCAGAATACAGGCCCGGGAAAATGTCAGAATATTTGTCAGATAGAATGTCAGATCATATTTGAGGTAAAATGTCAGATGGAATGTCAGAGAATATGTCATATAAAAGGTCAGATAGTATGTCAGAATAAATGTCAGACAAGATGTCAGATAGAATGTCAACAATTTGTGGCAGGATATATGCCATAGCGGGGATTACACGAAGTAAAATAATTATTAGTTGGTTGTTGTGTCAAGCTGATTTTAGTTGTTTATATTTATTTATGTATTTATTTATGTATGTATTTGTTTATTTATATATGTAATTATATGTACTTATCTATTTTGTTGTTTTTGTTGATTGACTTACATTTAATTTAGTGTTGTTGTTTATTTCTAAATAAAATTGTTTTATCTACATATGTACAGTATTTACATTTTTTATTGATGGATTCATATCTTTATTTATTGCTTTATGTGTTCGTGTTTTTTTCCTTTATTTTACTGTGTTTTATTGTGTTGTTTAATTATTTATCCTTTTTGATTCGAGATGAGTTTGTTGAATTGCTTGCATGCCACCAATATCAAGGCAAGAATGCGGATTACCAATCAAGTCAAATTATGTAAAATTGACAACAACCGAACGGTTACGGTTTCTCTTGTGATTTTTTGTGTGGTCCATGCAAGCTTATGCGTCTTTGCCAATTGCCTATTGATATGTTTCACATCCTTGGCAAACATTCATATTGAATGCAACAATTGCCAATGTTGTTTTTGATATTTGTTTTTATCCCCAATAACAATTGCCAATGTTGTTTTTGTGTTTGATATTTTTCATATCCGTCCTTGCGCAATTTACGGCTTGCAGCTGAGTTTTTTTAAATCTGTGATCCCCATCATTGAGCTACAAGCCTACCAAATGTTACCAAAGTCTCCACCATGGCACATAACCTGACATATCCCATATGCTCCATGTATAGAATGTTTACCTGCATTTGGGTGATTTTTTGGGTATATGTAGGTAAATATTCCATACATGGAGCATCTGGGTATACTATTGCAGTCTATGTGATTGAAACTATTTGATATCTGACATTCTATCTGGTGTATTTGGCATTCTGACATTTTGGGCATTTTATCTGACAGTCTTTCTAAAATTCTATCCGACATTCATTCTATCTGGCATTGCCCTTGACATTCTACCTGATAGTTTTTCTGGTTTTCTATCTGGTACTCCTATGGATCCAGCAATGCAGCCCGGCGGGATGTTAAAATCTGGAGACCCTGACGACCATGACCTGGCAGGTGGGGAACAATATCATCATATATCATGTGGTAATTTATAGCGACCTCACTGCGACCTCACTGCGACCTCACTGGAATCATGATTAATAAGGAAAAACATCCCCAAGTGGCCTTAATAATTTAGCCAGATATATCATGTGGCAATTTAACCTAGCTATTGAAAATGGACCATTTATAGATGATTTACCCATTATACATGGTGATTTTCCATAGTTATGTTAGTATATTGTTGTGTATACCACTTTACTTGGATTTGCTGAAGATGATTTTTTATTTTCTCCATGGGAAATCCACTACTTGGGGAATCAAAAAAGGGAACATATTTTTTTATTTTTTGGTGGTTCCTTAAGCAAATCCATGTATATCATGTGTAACGTGTTTTTTGTTTTGAAACATTTTTTGTGTAAAGATTAATCTACACACCGTTCCTTGTGGATATGTCTGGAAGTAATTATTCTTGCACGGTATTATAGATATTATAGAAAACCAATGGTTACAAAACATATGTTAGAACAACGCTGTAGTTTTTTTCGTTAGGTTAATTCGTTTTTTTGTCAATGGCAAAACAGGATCTGTACAGCCACGGTACACTCTCTGTGTGTAAATCATCCATCCCTTGTTTCCAACAGAACATCGTTCGAATAGTCACAGATGGGTTCGGCATATTGGGACATTGAGGGGCAGTCGAACTCATCAGTTCTACACAGCCCACAGTCAGACGTTTGGTGTGTACGTTGAAGTGATTTAGGACAATTCACTTCCCACCAGCAGTTTTGCATATACCAAGAGATGATCAATGATTCCCGCACGCATCCTTCTTCACGTGATTTTAAACTCGAGGACTCTATACAGACCAATCTAAACACCTGCAAGTCCTTGAAACCAGTCGGGTTTGTCTGAAAATAGGGTATATTCCCAATGAAATAGCCATTTAATAGGGATAATGATCAGCAAAACCATTGGGTACAATGGGGTACACGACATTTTCAGACACACCCAGTCCTTATTCAAAAGAAAATTCTTGGTTCAATGATGGCACTGGGCCTCCAAGGCCAGCAAATTTCCCGAGTTTTGCATTCGCGAAGCCTCCTGGGAAGCAGCAGGTCACTGTTCAATGTGACAGGCCCCTTGTTCGCCTTGGAAAGGGTAAACGGGCCTCCTGTTTTGCTGCGAATAAAGGGCCTTTATTCCGTGGCACGCGATGACGTTGAATCATCCACTTTCAATGTCGGGGAACCCAATGGACACAATTCGGTCAACAAGGATGAAACTTCATATATTCATGATATAATTTCAACTATGTAGCATTTGTAGCCATATGCACCTTCCAAGAATATAGGAAAGTTGGGAACCCGGAAATGGTGAAAACATCATCGAAGTAGCATCATGGGCTCATAGGTTTCTGTCCTTTTTGGGTTTGGATGACTTGGAACGCTGGGCAGCCGGTGAATCAAACTCCGTTAATGGTATTTATAACGGATTAGTTAATTAGCTAGGGCCGTTAGCTCATTAGTTTGTAAACGGATTATAATTGGGATATAATCATAGTGGTTTATTTATAACTCAATTACTAGCCAGGTTGCTAATACCATGGCCCGTCTAAGTATGAAACATGATCTGGATATATATGATTATATTTTTGTAATCACAATAAATGTCGCCCAGTACATGATAGTTACTGCCAGGGTAATTATCAGTTTTGATGGCATTCAATCAATTTATCGACTTTTCTCAGAGTATCCAGAAACTAACGATCCAGAATGCTTTGGTCTAGTAGTAAAACCATGTTCAGTCTATTTCAGTCTCATGTTTGGTTGCCCGCAGTTTTTTTCGGGGTCATCAGATCATCACTTGGATGTGGATCTAGAAATCGGTATCCCACCAGCCTGGCATGATCGAAAGAACACCTCGCACGTGCCCAGTACGTCCCTGCGCACGGCTTCAAATTGTGACCATTGTGTTGATGAGATTCTAATATGTGTTTTTGTTAATGTCCTTTCTTATACACGGATACACATGCAAAATCCTGGGTTAAGTCTCCATGGTCTTTTTTGGCACCGAAAGGGAACTTGACCTGGTGTCCATTCAGACATCACGCCGTTGATGTCGAATCGTCGTTGATGTCGAATCGGCTGCGACATGCTGCAATGAGGACTCATTTGTGCGATTGAGCTCCGTTGCGATCCGCATCTTCGTCGTGGGTGGCCTTGATGTTGACCGGCTGCCAAGTGGCTGCGACGTTTTGGGCCGGATCAGACTGGCCATAATTCAATGTTTGAATCAGTTTCAATAGATAGATTTATAGAAGTTTACTGTTTCCAAAAAGACGTCTTCGGTGTCTTTGTGAAAGGAAAGAGGAGTCAATTTGAGGTATTGTTTGTGAATGTGTAGTTTTATGTATAAATACATGCACAGCTTTTTGTGAATCACTGCAGATAATTACTTGATTGGCAATTGCAGGACTTTCTGAGGGACTCATGATCATACCTTTTGCCACTGCCAGCAACTCCTCCTCTGCCATTTGAGGGCCATGAAAATTTATGTATTCTTTTTTTGGAAACAGTCGGTGCAAGCAAAAGGATTATAGCTCTAACATGAGCAAACGTCAGCACGAGTCCATCCATGGATGCATGGGTTCGGCGCAATGATGTGTGTGGGGTCTTGCTGGGATATGTCTGAGCCTCACCTGAATTATTGTTTACATTTGTATTTATATATACACACATAATACTATATATATATACACAAATATCCCCCATGCGTACTCCCTTTAAAAAAAAAATCGTGCCCAGAATATAGGAAAGATAGAAGGCTCATATTGATGCAGGCAGATGGTGCATGTTATAAAAAGTCAGCTTTCAGTACACTGAGATGATGAATGATTTCATTTTCTGAGAGATGCTGGCACTTGGAAAGTGGACTTTATAAATGGCCATTCAACTAGCCAAATTTTACACACGCCAACCACCTGGAGAATGATTTTCATACATTCATACAGACGTACAGACCTACAGAGATAGATAGATAAATAGATAGATATATGTGTGTATATAAATAGAGACAAAGATGCATAGATGCATAGACATGTACAGATAAACATACAAACAGACAGACGGACGGACAGACGGACGGACAGACAGACAGACAGATACTACATATGCCTACATACGCCTGCATACGCCTACATACGTGTACATACGCGTACATACACATACATACGTGTACATATGCGTACATGTGCGTACATACGCGTACATATGCGTACATACGCGTACATACGCGTACATACAGGTACAAATGCGTACATACGCATACATACGCGTACATACGCGTACATACGCGCACATACGCGTATATATATATATATATGTACATACGTACATACATGCATAAGTACATACGTACATATCACACGCATAATGATATACTGACATACAGACTTGAACATA